TAATCACTGACCGCTCACTGATCAGCTGTGTTTTCTGAACGCAGCCATTGACATTACGCGATCATAGGGAAATTTCCAAGTGAACAATGGCTTCTTATAATATGAATATTGTACTCTTGAAATAAAAAAAACATACGATGATTTTACACGGTATATACAGAGCGTATTCAAATTTTATCTATTTTTGTTTACAATTTTTTAACGCCATATTTCTTTTGAGCAGTATATATTGAACTAAAAGACTCGCAAGACCGATTCTCGCATTTTCTTTAATCGTATCCTCGCACGCATTCCGTTTATAAAAATTAACAAAATACTGGCACTCGTGTTTATTCATATGGTTTAAATAAAGCAATATTGATTTTTATAATTTGAATAATTGATTTTAACTAACAATATTTTTGTATCTTCTTTGTCTAAGATATAAGTATAATATACATAGAGAGAATATTGAGAGATAATATAATGAGAGAGTATTGTGCTCTTATTTATATAAATAGTTTTCAATTTTACTATATTTTCTATACTGAGAGAAAAAATAAATTAAATGTAACTAACACACACACACACACACACACACACACACACACATATATATATATATATATATATATATATATATATATATAGAATCATTAATAAATAATCATTTCGTTAAGATATTTGAGTACTCACATCATCCATTTCTTTTTAATAATGTTAGAAGCAAGAAAACGCATGCTAAAAATTCTTGTCAAGATATATCCATAAAATGACACTTGCGATCAATTAAGAGCACACGATTAAACACACCTTAATATATTTAGTGTACTTTCCTTACACTCTAATCAATAAATAATCGTAAAATTAATATGACAGAATAATAAGAAAATTAGATTAAAAAAGAAAATTGTCAAGTTAATTTTATGCTTATTTATTAATCGTTAGAAAGTAAAAAAATGTTCGGGATATTTTTGAAGTCATTTCAAAAGAGTGAGTCTAATGTAATATTTGAGATTTTCGCGGTGTTCATGAATATTAAATTTGGTTTCCGGGTTTGAACCGCGTAGATTTTTCTTTGTCTGATTCCGACGTTTCACGAACATTTCAGTCCGCTTCATCAGGCAAGAACAATCCGATGCTAGAGAGTCTAATGTATCAGAATGAAATATTCCCTGAATATTTCTCAGATATACCTTACAGATAGTTTAGAAAATAATTATTACTTGAATTAATACTATATTAATCAAGAAGTTTTCTTCAGCATAGAATTTATCTTGCTGAGGAAGCTTAGTAAATTATTTAATAATAGATTTCAGTTCCTAAAATATAAACACACCGAATATGAAGCGGAGGAATAATAAATTACGGCAGATTGTCGATATTACAAAATTCTATGCAGTAAATTTTACTATAAAATTCTCTCCATGTATAAAGGCCTTCTGCAAGATGACAAGGAAGATACAAAACGACAGATTGTAATTATTAAACGTGTGGCTAATTTATACAGATTGTGCACCTGATAAAAAATGCACGAAGCCGTCCGCATACCGCGGCTATCGGCGACGGCGGTAACGACGTGTCAATGATACAAGAGGCGCACGTGGGATTCGGGATATTGGGAAAAGAAGGTCGTCAGGCTTCCATGTCGGCTGACTTCGCCTTCTCGAAATTTATGTATCTGAAAAAGGCGTTGCTGGTGCACGGTCACTGGTACTACCAGCGCATCAGCATCTTTTCGCAATATTTCTTTTATAAAAACTTGATCTTCATGACGCCGCAAGTATTATATGGCCTGCATAATGGATTCTCTACGCAAGTAAGAATATCATCTTATGAAAAAAAAAAGAAAAATGTGCTAGTAGTTATATTTTCGGAAGGAACCTTCAGGTTTTTGTGTCTTTTCATTGTAGGAACTTTATGACAGTATGTTCTTGATGTTGTTCAACATGATATTCACGACGCTTCCAATACTACTGTATGGATTATTCGAGCAAAACTACAGTGCGGAAAAACTCATACAACATCCGTACCTGTACAAACTAAATCGAAATAATTATTTAATGTCGAGACAACAGTTCATGATATGGATGCTACTAAGTGCGTAATTGTAGAAAGATCAATGAGTATTTATAAATACAGCCAAATGTAAATGATAAAAAGAAACATTAACGACTGTGATTTATTGTCGCCGTTATTCTTTTTAGGCATATGGCATACGTGTGTGATATATTTTGTAGTATACTCTCTCACGCTCACCAATTCCGCATATTTATATGACAACACAACGGTTGGACAATGGACTTTTAGCACTAATATTTTTCATCTAGTCGTTCTAATAGCGAATGTTCAGGTGTGTATTAACGTCATCGCCGTGAGAATATCGGCGAGTAGCTTAACAATCTTATACAACGATAATATGATTTCAGATATTGCTACGTAGTTCCTACTGGACGTCGTGGTTTGTTCTAAGCGTAGTGCTGTCCCAATTAACATTCTTCTTATTCACGTTTAGTTACTCGTTGGTAAAAAAGTAAGTGAGCATTTTACAATGTCGAGAATTATCTATGATAAATTATAATTATCCTGATGGAAAAAATTTGCTGAAAATACAAAAAAATCGTCTAAAAGAGAAATTAAAGTTATTAAAAAGTCACTGAAAACATTTTATGATGAATCATGATTTTCATTATAAATTGTTATAAAAAGTATGATGAAACAATGAATTTTAAATAAATATTGATGAAAAGTAATGAAAATATTTTGAAATATTTGATATTATAAAATCTACTAAATTCCAATGAAAAATGAATAAATTGTATTGAAACTTTGCTGAAATATTGATGGAAAAAATTCGTGAAAACATTTCTCAATAATTTTCAAAATTTTGCTGAATTACGCTGATGAAACAATAATAATAATACATAATTAATTGTAAATAAGTACTTTATGCACTTCATTTATTGTTCAATAAAAAACTTCGTGAAAAAATTTTGAATAAATAACGAAATCGTGCTGAATTTCACTGACAATTAATGTCTCTGTAGTCGCCGTGCGCTCAGGATCGCGCCAGAGATGTCGCTTCCGAACGGCATCTCTGAGCGTTATTTAGGAAGAGGAGAGTATCGTGAGCGTGGAGCGTCAGGTAGCTCAGTGGTTTAGAGCAGTCGCCCGGCAAGCGAAAGACCCGGGTTTTCGAGTCCCGACCTAGCAGGACCGCGCTCTCGATATTTTTCTCTTTCTGGAACGAAAAAGATACGCAGATCTCGAACGCACGGCGTCCCGCCGCCACCTAGTATGCTCTCCTCCTTCTCGATATGACTCATTTAATTCCTTCGTTTAATTTAGGATATATAAAAAAGCTACCAAGAAACTATAAAAGTAATTTACGTACGTCGCGACCCTTAGTCTTTTTTTCGCTTCCGCCGCGCGTTTATCCTTCTTCATTCGGATCGACCATTTTATATTGACCTTTCACACCGGCAGGCCTGCTGGCGCGCTTCTGCGTGAAATATTTTTTTGAGACGACGTACGTAAATTAATTGTCAGTGAAATTAAATTAGCCAATTAAAATTTAATTTTTTTTATTCTTCTATATACAAGAATATGAAAACTCTCTCTCATTGAAATATCAATGAAAATTATTGAAATATATGGGAATCTGATTTCTTCACTATGTTTCAACATAAATTCATACGATTGTTAATTTGCATCTAATATTGCATTTAGAGCAATATTGCATCTAGAGCAATCGTTAATTAGCATATGTAATATTTGCATGTAGATTAAAAGAAATGAAAGAAGGATGTGTAAAAAGAGCCATTTTTAGTCCAGTTCCGGAACTTTTCTTAACCATTGGAAACTGTTTTTGGGAAACTATTTTTTAGAAACTGGAAAAAATAATTATTTATCCACCAGGTCTGGGGAAAGTTATAAAAATGGCGATTTATTATTAACTGTTGACATAGTCATATGAAATAATATTTTCGAAGCTTTGTCTTCTCAATATATTTATGTAAAATACTATCAATTGAATATTTGTGATGGAAAGTGTGCAGAAAATGTAGAGGGAGAGGAAGAAGTTTGTTATTTTATTAATATATTATATAAGATTTAGAAAAAGTGTCGAAGTTTCATGATATTTCGAAGAATACACGTTTTCGAAAAAAAAGGTTCATACAAAAATTATAGGATTTTAACTGGCGCTTTACGTAGTTGTATTAATATTACCTTGAATAATATTGTCAAAGTCATGTGAAAGTCACTTTTCACTAAAGGGAAACCTGAGTTTTCATTATATATTCCTATAGCCTTCCTTGAGACTCTTCCACAGCACTTCTTCTTTTTCACGTATCATTGCTGGACGCCAGCAATCACAATGGCTCTATTATCCTCCGCCACGCGGGAGAATTCCTCTATTTTTCAGATTTAAAAAGAATCCCATAAATTCACGGACTATCGTCTAATTAGTTTTATAAGTCACATGCTAAAAACATATGCATATTCTTCGTATTATTCTGGATATCTGTATACGAGCAAAATGTGAGATGGATTTGGGTGACTCACAGTTCAGCTTCAGGAGCGTTTTCGGCATGCTCATCGGCTTTAGATCACGTTTCGGCACGTTCTCTTAGAAAAGTGTCGCAACCATCGGCAGAATGTATTTCTATGCTTTGCGGACTGCGAGGTGACATTTAATCGCGTGCGCCATACTAGACTCATTGAACTTTTACTTGAAGCAGAAGTAGATGAAAAGAATGTCCGAATAATAAAAAACTTATAACAGAAAGTCGACATACTAATACAACTACGTAAAGCGCCAGTTAAAATCCTATAATTTTTATATGAACTTTTTTTCGAAAATGCGTATTCTTCGAAATATCATGAAACTTCA